AGAATTTTGGAAGACAAGTATTTTGGAAGACAAGTCCTGATCAAGAAAAATCATGCTGTTCTGAGTAACCTTTAGCTAGCCATGCAGTCTAAAAATTGGGATGAAATCAAGCAAGGCTAAACCAACTGCATGAAATCTGTGTATAGGGTATATTAAGAACCCTGCTTGTTCCCAGGATGGCATTTTCCTTGCTTTAGGGAACTTGGAAATGTGTAAATAACATCTCTTAGATCAGACAGACTTACTGATTTAGTTTCAAACCATGCTCCATCTTTTAGTCTTGTAACAAGAGCAAATGCTTATCAGGTATTTTGTGGCTCTTTTTTTTCTTCTGCAGATGTGTGTTAAAAAAAAATCCAACCATTATCTCAAAAGGGAAAATAAAAAGGAGACGAATGGAAGCTTACAACCCCCACTCCTTTTTTTGTGCTCTGCAATAGTTTGGGACTATTCAACCAACAAAAACGGGAGTTCCACAGTGGCAGCAGCTGGAACCATCCCTTTTCTGAAAGGGGATTACACAGAAGAAAACAGGTATTTTGGGAATGTTTTAGGTATGATGACCCTTCTGAATTGTCACCTTGGGCTTTTAAGTAGTCCATGTATGTAAGTAGTCCATGTAAAAATATATTTTTGTTTTCAAATCTATTAATAAATTAAGAGTCCCCCTTTACTAACATTCAATGTATGCAGCACGAAGCTTTCCTAACTGATAAAATTTTTGCCTTTTTATTTTTGGATCACTAAACACTCTCCAGTGGAGATACGGACCCCTGCATAACAAACTTAAATCTGTCAGAAACAGGCTGCTTTTCTTATTTACCTCCCAAAGACTCACAGAAGTCACAGACTGAAAACTACTGGACTAAAAACACATATTTTCTTAGTAATATTTCAGACTAAATATTTCACTTTAAAAATTTAAAGGTTGAAACTACCAAAAAAGCCTGGTGAACAACCAACCAACACAATTCCCCAAGTTACAATTCTTTAGAAATACAGAAATAAAAATTAAGAGATACTATGTTTAATAATCTAAGGAGAAGATACAACTTAAAGTCATCTTCTATAAGGCAGATTTCTTTATCCTCTGAATTAAGGCTACCTAACTAGTCTCAACTTGGAATAGATTAAGGGGCAAAGCCACAATGCAGGGAAGTAACCAGATGCTGCCATTTGATGACATCTCCCTGTTCAAATGCAGTAAACTGAAATCCAGACCTGAGCATTTCTAGACTGATCTATGCACAGGAGACAAGAGGGAGCTAATGTGATGTTATTTAAGTCTGTAACATTTCCAAAATTGTGACTTATTGGCGAGGAAAAAAAAATTAAAAGAGCATATTGCAATTGAAAGAAACCTGTGAGAGCAGAGGACATTCCATAGAAGTAATTTCTTTTTTCTCTCCTGGCAATGTGAATCTTGTTTTTCATTTTGCATTTAGTTCTTTGTGGATAAGCTAGCTTCTCCCCCAGTTCTTAGAACTCACAGGCATCCTCATACTAATTCAGTTCATTCAGAACTGCTTCTCATGTTAAGACAAGCTGATCAGGTTGGCACAACATACATTCACGCCTCTAGCAGCAAACGTTATCCAAGAAACAAACGTAAAGCTTTAAATGTATCATTTTAATAAGAAACTAACTATATAAAAATGTACATTTGTAGCCTACATAAATTGTGGTAGAATCTGTAGAGAAGACAAGCAGGAGTCTTGCAAAAATCATAAATACAACAAACTTACAGAAGCTTTCCCTTTAAAACCTTTAAATACTTATTCCTGAAATTTCATGTTTAGATTCCAGTCACACATTTGTATTTTTGGAACTAATCACACAGCATTAAAATAGAATAAAAGTTTTATATAAATACATTTTTATGTATTGGGTATGTACCTATATCTCATATTGCTGGATGCAGTATTTCAATGAAGAGTAACTTACTGCTTATTGAAGAAATATGGTTGTGTTCCTAATCTCTGGGAGAGAGCATGACAGCACTGATCTACATCTTCAAGCACCTATCAAAATACACAAGAAAGAAAGATCCATATTGTCAGGAAGTAACACCATTGCAAGAAATAACCTCCTTATTCTAGTTGCACCGACAGTGGGAACAAGGAATGTAACATGTTAGAGTATCAAAAGCTGTTAAAGTCAGACAAACCTACACAGCAGGCAGGTAGCAAAGTGTTACTTAATCTAACTCGTGATGTAAGGTAACTCTGACTAAGTGCTTCCCATAAAATTTCAAACTAAGCTTAATGACTTAAACCCCACAACCTGCCACAATCCCACAAAGAGTGCCTATCAGTATCATACAGGAAGCAGGGCACAGAACTCACAACCTATTCTCAGGACTATGGTCTAAACTAACACTGACACAGTTGTACACTTGCAGTAAAACATCCTTCCTTGAACCCCATCAGGTTGCACATAATTTAAAATTTATTGCTGCTGAAGACAAGTATCTGACTCCTGATAATGTTTAAAGTACAGAATATATATTTCACTACATCTGTTTCAGGAATATGCTACTCTCCAATGCCTATTAAAAAAATAGAAAAAAGAAATCAGAAGGAAAACAGGGTAAAGAAAAATAAGATTCCCTTTTCATACTTACCTGTTCAAGTGTCTTTCCAGCCCATCCAATGGCTTTCATCTTTCGCCTGACCTCCCACTGTTTCTGATAGGACAAAATGCGGTTAAGAGGCCACGGATAAGGAGAGCCATACCTGGGGTGTGTAATCTGTGTTGAAAAACAGAAAGGTACTGTGTTATCATACAAGAAAATACAGATACCTCTTAACAAAACAGCTGATATTTAAACATTTCTCTCAGAAAAGGAGCTGCAGAAGAGAAAAGGAGCTGTGTGTATGCTGAAAGTATCTGCACAGAATCCACTGTTTGCAGCATAATTATTTAAAGCTATTATTTCAGAAACATAAACAAAACCTGTATCTATTCTGCAGTCAGCTCCCTCCAGTAACACAGCTTCCCTAAAATGTGTATGCAAGTGAAATTAAAGTGAAAAGACTTTATCATTAATGGTATAAAACCCCATGTTTCATTTATGAGTAGGGACTTGCAGTTGTGAGCAAAAGTGTTTTCTCATTAAATTTTAATTAAGATGAATGCTGCGGAACCACTCACCTCCTCTACTGTAACATCATCACACCACTGGAGATAGAGCTAGGAAAAGAAAGAACACTTACTAAAACTTCCTAATAAAGGAGAATACAGAGACAATCATTTTTCACTAGTAGAATTTCCTTTTCTAAATTAGATTAAAATTTCCATTTAATTTCTTCTCGTAGACCTTTGATGTACAAAAGAAATTAAAACTGGAAGAAAAAAGCCCAGCTGCTAGTCTTGACTTCACCAGCACCAAAACTAAGCTGAGACCAAAAGCCTCTCCTGTTGCCCACACCACACCCAGCTCCAGGCACCCCGGCCCTCAGCTCCTCAGTCACCTGCACCCAGTGCTTCCAACACTGCTCCTAGGCCAGGACTGAGGCACCTGAACTGGCCACAGACAGGCAGCACAGAGGATCCCAGGCTCCCAGCACGCACAGCATGCACATGGAGACAGTGACAGCAGGGTGCCTGGCCAGCCAGGGGGTGCCTGGCCAGCCAGGGGTGCAGTAGGACCCCAGGAACCACTGGCATTTTCTGGTCAGTTACTTCTACCGCTGTGTGTCACACTTGACATAGGTGAGGGGAAATCACACATGGCTACAGGGACAGGTCAGCAAGCAATCCACAGTAGTATGTGAGAATTTATTCCTTATTATTCATTTCACCTCAAAAGCTGACAACCTAAACTAGGAACAGCACTATTTCCACTACAGGGAAAAATCCTAAAGCTTTCTTGCCTACAGTGTGTAAAGTTACTAGGGTTTGCTGTACCTCTGCTGTCAAAAGCATATTATTGACCAATTCCATGTAGGCTTTCATCTCTGCTTTTTGGACTTCATCCAACCCATCACTGAGAGAATGGCCCTAATGGGGAAAAGAAAAAAGACACATATGTAAGAATGAATATTGGAATATTCAGCAACACATGACCCAAGGACCTTAAACATCAATGAGCTTTGGCTCACATCCTATTCTCTTACATAGTTCAATAAAAAATTACATATGAAATTTTTACAATTAAAACCAAATCATCATAATGTAACCAATCTATAAGAAATCTAAGCTAATCTACAAGAAATGTAGATTATTATCAGTTATAGATAAGCACACTTTGAGCATACAGCCTCCTGGTTAGTGTATCCCTATGGCAAGA